TACAATTGATGCAATTTTAATTTTTGGAGTTTTTTAATTATTAAAATACTTGATTTAATGAGAGATGCGAAAATTTAAAATAATGAGGTCACTAATATTACTAATGTCATCCATTGTCAGCAACAAACCCTTCAAATCTGGGTGACTGCTGGCATCTACTTGTGACTCTGTGTTGAAACAAACATTCTAATAATTTAGCAAATAATATTAAAAAGCCACCTCATTTGATGATAATAAGCCTGTTGTTATTAATATAAGCAAATGATGGCCTGTTTGCGCCCTACTTGGCTGGTTTTCAATAAATAAATAAATTTCAAATATACAAAGAAAAGTTCGCTATAGCCAATTCGCATAGTCGCATTATTAATTTTTTCGCTAAAATATGAAATTCATATCAAAAATAAATCATTATTTTCAATTTTAAATTTATACATAAATATATATTCAACTTCAGTAAATATTTCAGAAATGTCTTTAAAAAATTGATACTTTTGTTTCTCAGCCAAATAAATTTTATTTAATATTTGCAGTCTTTAAATGCATCAATTTTTGATTTTTTTATCAGAGGAAAGAGGAACGAGGTAAGAAGACATATTTTTTCTGTATTTCGCATACCAATGTCGATCTATTGTTGTAGCCTTTCTTGCAGCCTGAAAATGAAATATTTCATTTTCGAAGAACGGCTTTTATCTCGAAAATATTCGATTAGAGATCTTTCTCCTCACGTCTTTTTCAGTGAATCTGCTTATAAGATAATATGAATTAATTAAATAGACTGACACTGAGAATAAGATTTCTATGATGAAATTGGATTCATACCATCGCCTTATAATTTATTCCACACTAAGGATTATTTCACTATTAGCTCTAATTTGAAGGACAAGGAGCCTTCAACAATTCCTTTTACCTGTGTCTAATTCCTTATATCCTAAACAGCTGGACTACCTAAGAATTCAAAATCTCTTCTGATTGTATCAATCGAACATCCAATTAATACTGCTCTTTTCCTCACCATCACAAGGCGTAAAAGGCAGCAATATATTAATTCTTGAATGGAGAATGGCGAGACAGTTATTTGGTACTCAACGATGATATTGGTACTAGAGATGGTATTTGAATTCAGTCATATAAAATCATTTAGCATGGACATAAAGTGCTTTTCAGTCATAAATGATCAAGGATGGTTCATTGTCGAATATTCTCTACTCTCATTCGCAATATTTGTTATTCTCCCTACACCAGCCATTCTTTATTTCATCGAATCCCTTATTTGGTTATTTGGTATAAAAGTGGATATATAAGATATTTAAGGTTTCGCACTTTCTCTCCCCAACAATAATCCTATTTGATTGCGCCAAATCCTAAATTTTCTACTAATGAAATGATTGGTGGAAGTTTAACGAATTTCAGCATTAACAAGTAACATTATGTGACCTGCGTTTCATTTTCCTTTCTTTCTTGCTTAATGCATCGCCCATCTTTTTCTATATATTCTTCGCTGATGCATTTGCATTGTTGAATGCATATTTCAAGATGACCATCGATGTAAATCAATCGTTCGGACGTTTTGTAGACCATATTATGACCACATTTCCGACTTGTTAGTGTGCAAAGTGGGTCGCGAATCTCGCAGGATCGCCCTTCGCAATTTGCGCGAGTCTCAGGAGGCTAAATTTATATATTTCAACAAGTTTATTAAATGGGTGTTAAGTAGAGCTATTGTAGTATTGAAAGGAAAATTTGATAAAAACCTCAGCTTTACAATATGCTTAAATTCACTAAAATTTAATTTTTGCGTTAGCCAAGAAAATACATCTCACTGGAATAAATACTAAATTTTCTATTCTCACGAAAAGTTAGAAACGGTTGTAAATTCTCCACCTTTTGGATAGTTCGTTGCACGGGAAGTTGTGGATATCCGGTGGAAGTGGTAGATTGTTGGGTTAAAATTGGTGTTGTAGTTTTTTTTCTTTTCGCAGAAAGTATGCATTGACCATTTGTTTTGATGTATTCTTCACTTATACAAGTACATTTTTGGAAGCAAACTTCAGCACCATTGGTTGTATGCGATTTACCGATATTACCAAATATCATATTGGTTCCACATATTTTCCCTGCTAAGGTACATGAAACATCAGAAATCTCTTCGTCAAGTGCACACTCTCTTCCCGCGCAGTATTTAGGCAAAATTTCAGCTCGAAACTAAAAACAGATATAAAACAGATATATATAAAACAGAAATAATTAGTTATCGACACTTTTTAGCTTATTTAAACATTATATTGTTATTGCCAATTATTATGTTTTATCATAGCGAGCCTTTAAAATTTTCAAATAATGATAATTAGTGAATTTTGCAAAATTTTTAAGATTCATTATATTTTTGCAATAAATTTAGCTGAAAAAAGACCTCGGTTTCGTTTCGTTTTCTAACACCGTTTGGTTTACTGCATTGTCCATTATTTTTCACATATTCATTGACGCAAGTGCATTGTTGAATACAAACCGTTGAAGGTACTGTACCCAGTCTCATGCGTAAAGACTGATGTACGGTTTTGAATACCATATTCAGCCCACATTTCTTTCCCGTTAATGAGCACAAAGTATCAGAGACTTTTTCGTCAAGTGCACACAATCTTCCCGCACAATATTTGGGCAAAATTTCAGAAATTCGCTAAAGATGGACAAAATTTCCTTGTTAACCAACTATTTTTTCGCATTTTTTGAACAATAGTATTTTAATTATTAATATTGATATTATTAATATTAATATTAATGACTATTAATATTATTTTGAAATTCATGAAATTCATGAAAAAATTCTGTAAATTTTAGTATATTTTTGCAATAAATTTGTAGTTTGATTTAAATGATTCTTTAAAATTTTCAAACAATAATAATTAATGAATTTGGCAAAATTTTGAAATTTATAAAAATTTATAATTTATAAAAAAATTCTGACAATTTTATTATACTTCAGCAAAGAATTTAACACAAGAAAGACCTCAGTTTCATTTCGCAATGCTGGAATGTTGTTTTGCTTAATGCACTGTCCATTGCTCTGCACATATTCATCGCTGATACATTTGCACTCTTGAATGCACGTTTCAAGATTTAATGTTTCATCGGTGTAAATTAATCGTTCAACAGTCTTATAGACCATATTATGACCACATTCGCTATTCGTTTGGGTGCAAAATTCATCGTAAATTCGTGTGCATGAGTTCCCAACAGAATACAAAAGAGCCTAAAAAAAAGGGCTAAAGTTGAATGCTTTATTGAATGGTTTAGATTAGTTGCTTAGACTTCATATAAAAGTTGAGAAATCTAAAATATTTTGTTCATTAGATTTGAAAACGAAGTTATTGAGCTTTTGCTTAAATTACTAAATATTATAGAAAAAATTTTATTACAAATATTGAAATATTAGAAAAAATTTTTTACCAGAGCAATAGTTAGAATAACCATGGTTTGTAAGCGAAGTTGACTGATAACAAAATGATATTTCTACTTAATTGTGATTTTAAATGTAATTTTTAATTAATTCCACCCAAAAATATTCAACTTCCGAATTGATGTTTCCGTAATAACTTCCGTGGATTCACTATTAACATTTCTCCATTCCTATACATTTTGCTTTTTCTCTTAAAATAATGGAATTTTTTAGTTGGAAATCTCATCGTTAAATCTGCTTCAACTTTATAAAATTTCAACTCGAAAAGAATAATTCGCTAAATTTCTTCAGTGCGCATAAACGCTCAAAAATCTTACGTATAAATATGCATTCTATTAACACAAATAATCGTCGCAATATTGTCAAATTGCTAATAGAATATTTATATTTTTATTATGACGCTTTTTGACAAAATAATGATTTGAATTTATGATTCGAATGACAAATTAATTTTTTAACATTGAATTTACAGAATGAATATTTTATTTGGTTTATTTTTGATTAAATTATAACAAAAGCCGATTTTTTGAATAATTTTTATCGTAGCTAAAATATTTTTAAAGATTGAACATTATTTTAACACAATCTTTCAAAAAAGTTTTTCAAGAAAAAATTAAAAAATTATAATTTTTATATTTCTTAGGCTTTTTCTATTTAAAAGAGAATCACAGGTCTTGTATTTCCTCGAAAACGATTAGAGAAAACGATTGGTGGAATCAATTCGATAACGCGAATGATATCGAATAATGAGGGATTCACACTTAGCGAATCATGAAAGAATCACACCGAATGATCCAGTAGATTCTCAATTTACAGATTCCTGGTTGGATAGAATCAAAAACGAGAAAGGCCCATCATTTTCAACTTGTAGGACTAAGGTGTATGGGCTTTAGACACTGGAAAAAAAAAATGACTGGCTTCTATAATTTTCAACGACGTCATCAAATTTTGAAACGTCTTGTCTTTTTAGCCAGACTGATAAATATTAATGGCTATTAGAAGAAGAAGTTGATGACCAAAAATTGATAAAGATTTGATTAGATAAGCTGCCACAATTTATGACGGCTACAAGTCTATTTTGAAAGACTTCCCCATCTCTAGAAATGAATTTGACGGCCCTTAACATATCACATATCTTGACATTTTAATTTTTCCTTCGTATATTTATATCTCTTTTTTCACCACAGATTGCCGGGACATTATTCATTTATTCTTATTTTTTTAAAGAGTCCTCACCAGAGTACTGGTTAAACTCGCTCCAATGGCTTGTGGCTTTGGGCAATATGCCATGGAGTCTTTTGGTGATGGAAATACATATGAGTCACCAGCATCACCCGGATTCTTCTACAGGCTTACTCCTGTGGGGAATCGAACCACAGCATCGACGCTTCAAATTGAGCAATAACCCACTGAGCCATTCTATTTATTCACGCATTTCCTTTCAATTTATTTGTATCCTCACACTTTCACTGATTATATTACATTGGTAGCTTTTACAGTGATAGGCTTTATTCTTGAGTCCATTCTGCTTTTTTTCTTTAAAAGTCCTCATCGTTACTTGCTAGATTCGCTTGTCGCACTAGACAAATATGCCAGGAAGTCTCATTGATAATACAGATGAGCGTCGCCAGCATCAGAAGTTGAATCATGCGACAGGTTTGCTCTGGATTGAGCGACATCGCAATGAGCCTTTCTAATTCTTCTGCGATGGCTAATGTTTTTGCTGATGTAATGCTGCAACGACTATTTATGCAAGCGAATGTTTCATGATTCCATGTTCATTATTCGATAGAAATTTCAGTTCCATGGGAATGCGAACTCAAAAAATTAAAACTTAGTTTATCCACCATAGGTTCATAAGGGAAATTTTAGTTTAGTTTCATACGAATTGCTGAATTTGTTTTCTTGCAAAGAAGATTTCTGATAAAAAAATCTTTCAAATCATAGTTGCATACTTTAAATTTAATTCGATTATATTTGATATTTTCCTTTTTTTATATCTTTTGAAACCAAACAACCAAATTTTATTTAACATTAACATGGAAAATACCTTAATTTTGGCACATTAATTACGAAGCGAAACAAAAAAAAAAATTTTTCTTTATAACCTATTTCCTAGAAATTATCGGTGTCGTTTCAACCTTTCCAACTTGAAAAAAAAAATTCCATCGAGGAATATTTTAAAAATATTTGCCAAAAAACGAGCATTTTTTCAACTCGGCCAACCTATAGGTTAAATTCTTAAACGGACTGCTGCATTCTGACTGCTTCGCTATTGATGATTAAGACGCTGTTATTTTAATATGGAAATATCGAAATGTGCATTCCTGGATACAAATTACAGATGCAAGTACTCCTTTGGATTCCATAAGACGGACGGCGGACGGCCTGAAAAAGCATATTTTGCTCACATTTAGCGAGCAGAATATATCGGCAAATTCATTGTTGTTTGTGCGCACTTCATCGATACAGTATAAAGCATCGGGAACAAAGCCAAATCATAGGCTTTTATTAATATTTGTGAGTCTTTCAATTTTCGAAATTCTTAATAAATTTCTCAGACGAAAATTTGTGAAATTCTCTAAAAGAATCCACCAAAATTTCCGATTATCTTAAAAAATATTGAATTAAATCAAATGATAAATAAAAATTCTGAATAAAAGTATATACTGAATCATAATAATCAACAAGTGAAACTAATATGTAATTTTGTGTAGAATTTTGATGAATTTCGCTTCAACGTAATTCTAATTTTTGAATAGTAATTTGATTGAAAAACTGAAAATTTAAAAAATTCGTATCATATACGTATATATATAAAATGCATATAGTACCTTATTGTACCTTAAAAAGAAATTTTAAAAATCTACTCATGAAATAATTACGATTTCGCAAAATTTTTATGGATCATTCAATTAATTTCACATTTGATTTTGAAATAACAATTGAAATAAGATGTAAAATTTGAAGTGGTGATCGGCCTAATGAGTTGTCGCTCGAATTTCAAATGACCGATAAATTCCTCTTCACAAAGGAACAAAAAGCAATGCTTGTCAAAAACCTGGCTATTTGTTTATTTGCACTTCTATCGCCAAGTGACTTCTTCGTTAAAATTATTGATGATGTTTCTTTTTTAAATTGTTGAACTACTTTTATTCAATTTCAATTTTTTAATCAATTTTTTTATATTTGTAATATTCAATTTTTCCATATTTTTTAAAAAATATCCATCTTAACGATTCGACTAACTTGGAATAAATTTTGGCTAAATGGAGGATCAATTTTTTAGCCAAAGTTATAAAATCATTATATATTCTATATGAAATTTTTTGTGTATATTTTTATATTTCATTCGGGTTAATTTAGATGAAATTATGATGGAAGCGAATTTTTTCGAAAAATTTTGAAAAAAATTGATCCTCCATTTTTGCGATCTTCTGAAATGAACCATTCTCTTGTGAATTAACTATGACTATGAGATGAAATGGTTCAATAATAAATTTAATGGATTGAATGGATCTGGTCATTTAGTAATATCGAAATTAATTTAATGAAATTTCGAATTTTCGAATTTTGCATATTTTCAAGTTAAAAAACTGCGAAATATACTGAAATTTAGTAGTAATTTCTTGAGTCGGAAGCGAAATGGCACTGAAAAATTGTGGATTTAAAAATAAGAATATGAATTTGATGGAAGTGAAAAATTGAATATAATTAAACAAATAATAAAATTTACAAATTTATGAAGAAAAATTATTAATTAAATATTAATTATCCTTAATGTTTCGTTATTTGTTGCAAAATATATATGACACAATGGCATTTAATATATTTAGAGAGAATTATCCAGAAATTATGAAAAATTAATATCGAATCGATTCTGTAAAATACTATTTTCTTCGTTTATTGCATAGTATTATTATTTTAAAAATCGAAAACGATAGCCAAATTGAGAATTTAAAAGAGAATTTTTGGTTTAAAAAATTGGATAATTCTATTTGTATTGTTGAAATCAGAATTAAATTGCAAACATAAAGCGAGATTATTTGAAAATAAACTAAATCATATAAAAAATAAAACAAATAAAAGTAAAATATTTAATACATCAAATTGGTAAAATAATTTAAAAGATTTATAAAAATTGAACAAAACGCTATTTAAATATTTCAAATATTTTATGTCTACCATAATATTTTTACAAATATCCACCTTTACAATTTTTTGGCCTTTTTCTAGTAATTATAGGAAGACTATTTGATATAAAGAGATTTCCAAAAACGAGAGATATAATATTAAAAAGAGGATATTAATCAATAAAAGAATACAAAGATTTATTGTTTTTACGGTTCTCAAAAATTTTAAAATATTATAAATTATAATGGATTTATTAAGATCGTTTGATTTACTGATAAATCGCGTTTCACGGAATCGCATAAGATTATCTAAGAAAAAAAGAGAAAAATATCGTTCTTATCGCTAATTATGAAATCAACTAAAATCAACCTCTTTTTTTGGCCAAAAAATCATCAAATTCCTCATTATTTGAAATTCAACTCATTTTGCAAATCTCTCATTAAATTAAGTAATCTATACTAATAAAAACTCTAAAAATAAAAATTGTATTAGTTGCAATCAATTTTCAAGTTAAGAATATTAATTACTATTAACAATATTTTAATGATATTGTATTACTAATAATAGCAATAAATAACAATATTAACAATAACATTGATAATAATATGATAATAATGTAAATAGCTATTAAAAAAATAGCAAATAACAACAGGCGTTAACGATATTTCGGATTTAGTTAGGTCTATTAACAGTCCATCTGTCATATTTCATGCGATTATTATAGGAGAGCCAGTAGTGCTTTGTTATTTCTACTTTACTACACAAAATGTGAACCCATCGTTGGTATAAATGAATGTGTTAATAACTATAAAAAATGCTAATATAGCAAATTCTATTATATGAAAACATAAATCTATTTAAAATAGGAAAAGATGGATTAAACCGATAGCAAAAGTTCGCACAATCTCAGACCACTTTGCCATTTCACTAAGAATTATCTCTTTAACCATAAACGAAATAGACTGGTTTTAGCTGTTGGATAAAATTACAATTTATTAGATTTCTTCTTGGAACGCCTTTGAATGAAAATTTTGAAAGTAAAAG